ACGATTCCTACATTGTTCATACTTACAGACCTAATAACGTTGATGCAGCATAGAATTACACTGTTGCTCATCCATTGCTTTTGGAATAACCTGAAAGCATCCTGCTATCCTTTCTCAGACTTACTTTCTATTTTTTTTTTAACTTTAAGTAACAGGTAAAGCCAAACCAAATAGAGGAATGGCATTGATCTGAACAATGTTTAATTCCATGCACGAGTTAGCACTGATCGGCAGCCTGAGTGTGCTCTGAACACTTATTTATAAGCATCAATCAGAAATAGGCTTATTTACAGAGATGGCTGCAGAATGAGAGGTATGTGTGAGCATTGCACACCCCAAGGACCCCTTCAGGATTCTGAATCAATAAATCTCTGCTTGATAAATTCATCCATCACATCATAGTTATAACACTGTACTCAAAAAGGGACTATCTGGTGATCCTTTCACAAAGATAAAATGTCTTGTAAAGAATATCATAAAGAATAGAATTGTTTAGTTTTGTTACAATGTTGTTAAAACAAACAGGAATGTTAAAAGGCATGTTTCCAATTTTATGGGCATACAGAGGACAAATCATCAAGCATGCATCTCCGTAAACTTCACACCTTTATTGGACCTCACATCTTCATAGAGGCTCCTTTCACTAAGTAGATTAAAAAGTTAATTGCCTTTATTTTTATTTATTTTTATTGTTTGGGATTCACTGAGTGTACAAAGAAGTATGAGGATTCTCCATACTTCCTTAGTTAATTGCATTTTCTAGGTTATACTGATTCATTTGTTAGGTAAAGTCCCTCTAATAATTGTGTCCTGCCCCCCAAGAGGTGTACCATACACTGTGATCCCCCCCAGCCCCCTCTCCCTGCTCCATCATTCCCCTACTCCCCACCTCATCTACTGCCTTCATATTGGAATTGAGTACATTGGATTCTTGCTTCTCCATTCTCATGATGCTTTACTGAGAAGAATGTGTCCCACCTCTCCAGGTTAATTCAAAAGATGTAAATTCTCCATCTTTTTTAATGGTATACATGGTATTTTAATGTATACATGGTATACATACACCACAGCTTGTTAATCCATTCCTGAGTTGATGGTAGACTGTTGCCACATTTTGGCAATTGTAAATTGAGCTGTGATACACAGTCTAGTGCAAATGTCCTTATGATAAAATGTTTGTTTTTTTTTTCTTCTGGGTAGATGCCTAATAATGGGATTGCAGGGTCAAATGGGAGGTCTAATTTGAGTTCTTTGAGGATTCTCCATACTTCATTAGTTAATTGCATTTTTTAGGCATTTGAAATATTTGGGCTAAAAAATTAAAGAAGATTATCGAGTTGAAGGTAATGGCAAAGATGAGTGTCATTTAATTTAACTTTCCTCTCTCTGTAGGCTGAGGCAAGAGGACCACTTGAGCCCAGGAGTTTGAGATTGCTATGAGCTACAACACCACGGCATTCTAGCCAGAGTGACAGAGTCACACTCTGTCTCAAAAAAAAAAAAAAAAAGTGTTCATCTTTGTGGTGTTTATCATCATGTCCTTTTTTTCCTCATAAGAGGAACTTGATTTTATAAAGAATACACTCCAAAATGTCATTTCAATCTGTAAAGATAAAATGGGCAGCAACACTGGGAATTCTATCAAAATAAATAAATAATAAATAAATAAAATGTATTAGTAGTAGAATAATTATAATTATTTTATTATTATTTATAATTAATAATAATAGAACAGAAATTGGAATTCTGTTCTCTGAGATGATTGGCCTTAGTCAGGGGTTTAGCATGTCAGTTAATGGTAAGGACGTGGCAATCATGCTTGATACACATACTCCAAGAAGCAGCTACTAAAAGGACTACAAATTCTGTTTCTAAATATATTTTACCTTTTATCAGATTGTAACCAACTATAGAGAATTGCTATTCCTCATCCATGCCCTGTAAGATTAAGATGATTAATCAAACTTTGACTGCAGACATAATTAGTTTTTCTCTTTAGTTTCCCTAAAAGTGTGCCCAACCAGTTTTTTTCATTTTACCTTCCTCCTATGGAGTCTTTCTAGATATCTTTTCCCCTCCTTATGAAATGTTAATACATCACCTATCACATAGACTGTATGTTTATCCACATGCCCTTTGTGTATCTCTGAATTACACATTAAAAGAGTGGAAATTTTTTTGTCCACTGAGAACCAATTTTTGCTCCCTGGAGAGCAGCCTTTTTCTCTTTGAGAATGTTTGCTCCAAAGTACACATTAGTCAGAGCACTAGTGAATATATCTGTCCAGGAATATTTCTATGCCCAGTGCTCAGCAAGCTATATAACAGCCATATGGTCACATATGGGACAGAGATAGTGGGCATTCTGAGGAGGAAAGAATACATTTTTTGCTTGTAGCTATTTGGAAAACTATTAATACAGATGGACTGAAAGGCAAACTACATTCTTTCTTTCATTATTGCATTACTTTTTTAGTTTTATATGTTATTTTAAAAACCTTTGTATGAGTGCCTACACACAGACACACATGTCTGTACCTATATGTTAAGTACATTCAGAGTTGTCTCAGATTTATTTTTCATATCTGACACAAGGGCCATATTTCTTTCCTTTGCTTTTATGCTGTGATGAGATTTATGGGCTTTTTTGTTTATTTATTTTTTTTGATGCAGAGTCTCACTCTATCACCCTGGGTAGAGTGCTGTGGTATTATCATAGCTCACAGCAACCTCAAACTCCTGAGCTCAAGAGATTCCCTTTCCTCAGTCCCACAACTAGGTGGGACTACAGGTATCCACCTCAATGCCTGGCTAGTTTTTCTATTTTTAGTAGAGACGGGCTCTTGGTCTTGTTCAGGCTGGTCTGGAACTCCTGAGTTCAAAGGATTCACCTACCTTGGCCTCCCAGAATTCTGGGATAACAGGCATGAGCCACTGTGCCCAATAAGATGTTTTAATTTCACTCACATAACCATGGTTGCATCCTGTCTTTCATTTTTGATAGAATATTTCCCACAGGGCCCATTCTTCCATTCTTCACTACTAGCAATGAATGTTTGCAAAATATACATCATATGACATTACAATGCCATGGCCTAACCAAAGAAAGGTTCTATAAAGGTGTCACATACTAGGAAAAATTATGGGGAGACGGATGACAGACAGACTGATTTCTCTCTTTTTTTATTTACAAAGGTAAACTTTGCTTAGGTGCTTCCCTGGGGGTAAAGTTTATGAGACACTTTTTTAGTTTTGTCTGAAAACTTTCCCATGAACTTGAAGATCAATTTACCTATCAGTAAAGCTTCCAGCCTAAAGAAGCCCAGAGCCCCTTATTCCTCAGCCCCATTGCTGCGTGTTCTGGTTATTCAGAGCAAGTGAGTCTTCCTAACAGCCGCCCATTTATGGCAAGTCTACAGATGTCATTATCACCTACTTGCCTCTTGGAGAGCCCTGCATACTCTGCACACCACTCTAGCTCTGCTCCGGTTATGAGAGCTAAGCCTATTGTGCCTCTGGAATTAAGTACTGCGAAGTTTTTACTGTCTCCCTGGAAAGTGTCCCCACAATTGAAACCTGGGAGCTAATTTTAGTGGCAACATCTCCGAGTTACAGAGGACCGTCATCACAGTGCTTTTCTTTTTTTCCCAAAGGTTCTGGCCTTTCTTTAATCAATGTATCTTCTAATCCATCCATAAATGGGCCCTCTTAGGGCACATAGTTGGGAAAAGAGAATGAATTGGTCACACACATAATTCATTTCTATGATTCTTATTCCCTGTGTCTTGGGATAGCTCATCTGTGACAAACTTAAGAAATGTGTGGGATATCAACCTCATTCAGCAACAGCACACTAAGCCCAGTTTTCAGTTAAGGGAATAACCAATCAGATCACTCCTAGCCACCTGAATGCACATGCTGCATAAACACACTTGCGTCAATAAATTTAAACAACTCTAAAATTTTGTTTTGCAGTCCTTGGCCTGGCACTCTCATAATCTGTCCCATCTGTAAATGTTTATGCACAAATAAATTAGAGAAGTCTAACAATTCCTCAGGAGATCAGACTTTGTTGGTGTTGACTGAAGTTTGCTCCCTGGCTGCTTTCCGAGATAGAGCTACCTTAGTGCTAGGTCTGAGGGCAGCAATGGCAGAAGTGGGGAGTAGGGGGACTGGGCATACAAACGGCCCACTTCTCATCATGCCTGGGAGGGGCAGCTGTGCCTGCTGGCATAGGAGCAGAATTTTGTTGTTCAGCTTAATCAAAATTTTCTAAATTTTTCCAGTTTTCACCATTCCGTCATTCGTATACATCCTCTGGTAAGTGTCCACTAGCTATCTGGACAAACCAAAGAAGCAAAATTCAAACGGCAAAGCAAAATATAAGCATGATAAATTGTGGTCTCCTGTGGTTTTTTCTTTTGATGCATCCAAGTTGCCAAAGACATAGACAAAATCTCCCAACTAGAATGACTACTTTAGGTAGTTATAAGTGAGGATTGTAAAGTTTGAAAAACTCCAAGGATGCCATTGGCTCCTGTTACAATTCATAGGAACTTAAAGAATAGAATGTAAGTTGTGGTTTTTTGTTGTTGTTTGTTTATTTTTTGAGACAGAGTCTCTGTCACCCAAGATAGAATGCCTTGGTGTCAGAGCTCACAGCAACCTCAAACTCTTGGGCTCAAGCAAGCCTCTTGCCTCAGCTTCCCAGAATGCTGCAATTATAAGCATGGGCCACGGTGCCTGGCCAGAACATCTTAAAAGTTTTTTTAAGACCTTATTTTCTGTTTTTTTAGAGTAGTTGTAGGTTCACAGCAAGATTTAGAGGAAAGTACAGAGATTTCTCACATACCTTCTGCCCCCACACATACAGGCCTCCCCCATTGTCAATATCCCCCACCAGCAGGGTGCATCACTACAGCTGATGAACCCACACTGAAACTGTGGGTGCTAAGCAGTTTTGAAGCAGGGTGATTTTTCTTTTCTTTCTTTTATCACAGGACTACAGAGTGAATATTTTTCTTCGTCAGAAATGGAACGATCCTCGTCTTGCCTACAGTGAATATCCTGATGACTCTTTAGACCTGGACCCATCCATGCTGGACTCCATTTGGAAACCCGACCTGTTCTTTGCCAATGAAAAGGGTGCCAACTTTCACGAAGTCACTACAGACAACAAATTGCTAAGAATTTTCAAAAATGGAAACGTTCTTTATTCAATAAGGTGAGTGGGAGATAAATTTCCTGATTTCTGTGAATAGGCGTACTGTGGGTGAACACAGAGATAACCCCATATCATGAAATACTTTGCATGAGATAAACTGTCTATATTTATAAGAAAAAGCCTACAAGATACATTTCAGAGAAATGTTTTATGTTTATATTTATCTAAAGTATATATAACACTGGGAGTGGTGGCTTACACCTATAATCCCAGCACTCTGAGAGGCCAAGTCAGGAGGATCTCTTGAGCCCTAGAGTCTGAGGTTATCATAAGCTTGGCTGATACCACGGCACTCTACCCAGGAAGACAGATTGAGACTCTGTCTCAAATAAATAAATAAATAAATAAACAAAACATATATATGTCTAACTATGAAATATGCATACATTAAATATGTGTATACATAAAAGAAGTTTAGAAGAATGCCCAAAAATTGGCTGAGAATGAGAATAATCAGCTATAGGAGTGAATCATAAAATTTAGGCAGGAATAAAAGCAAAGTATAAATTTCACTGTACATCAATTTCTGTTGTTTGAATTTTCCAGAATGGGTGATATATCCTTTATGATTTAAATACACACATTTTAAGTGAGAGAGATTCTTTCTTAACCTGAGGTCATGATCCTTGACCCCTCTGTGCTGTAGACTCATGATGGTTATTGAGAGATCTGTGGCAGGATATAAACAAAACAAGCTTAATTCTTTCCCTGCAGATTTCAAAATCACCTTTGTGAAAGGTGTCATTTTATTTTAAATTACATCTTAAAGTATTGTCTCACTTCAGACAGGTTTTGGGTGGCTCAGGTTATAAAATTGTATCATCAGGTAGCCTGGAATAATCATTTAGCAAAGATAGAATGTCTGGACGATTTCTATAGGTGGAATTGAAATGTGTGTGTGTGTGTGTGTGTGTGTGTGTGTAGTGCAGTGTATTCTGTATGGTTGTGGATATTAATTTGTCTATATTCGGTATACCTGGAGTTGGAAAATGTCAATATAAAGAATGAATGAATAACCTTTTAGTTTCTCCTTTATCAATAAACAGAAAAGAACATAAAATCAAGACTACTTTTTGGGCAGGGAGCTACTTGCAAACAATATGTTATCAAAATGGAACTGTCCATCCTGAAAATGTGTCAAATGGGATGAATCTTGTTATTAAGAAGATTGTGTAATTTTAAGAGTATAATTGTACTAAAACACTTAATTGCTCCAATTTAGATGCATTATGTTACAGAATGCTAAAAATTATTTAGTACATTGAAAAGTTAAATAATTTAAGAGAAATTTATAAGACATTTTTACTGTGTCCCTTGAAAATGCTCAAGTGCTTTTCTGTCTTAGAGTAATAAGACTGAAATTATGTCTCTTATAAGTGATGTCATTCATTATAAATTGTTCACATTTCATCTAACATCTTGAGAACATTTATGAAATAATCAATGCATCTCTTATCTTTTTGTATGAATTCATATGAAACAGATGGTCTCGGCTCTTAGTTTTTGTTTGTTATATCCTGGCTTACATGATCAAAGAAAAAACAAATCTTTTTTTTTTTTCTTCTTGTGAGTTGTTTTTGGAAATTTCACAGGACTTTGAAAGCTTTCAATGACTCGAATCTTCAGCTTCTTTGTTAACAAAAATTGTGCTAAGGAAAGAAAAATCTTGTTCCATTTACCAATGGAACATCTGTGATGTTTCAGGAGAGATCTGGCTTTCCTGCCTGCTTAAAGAAAGAAGAAGAATGTCCTGGCAAAGGTGACCTATTGTGCTTACACATTTATCTGTGTATCCCCCTTAAGCCTTACTAAAACAAGGAATAAACTAAATAAGGAATAAAAATGACATTAACACACAGGAGGATTAAAGCACTGGGAAATAATGCAAAAATGGACAAGTGATCACATATTTTAGGAAGCTTATAAAAGAGGGCACTTCTGAAAACTGACTTCACAGGCTAAGACAGAAACCTAAGCCACAGTGAGGAGCTCAAGAGCAAGAAAATAATTACCTACAAACATTTAGAAATTTCAAGCAGTTGAGAGGTTAGAAATGAGAGGGTCTGAAAAGAGACTTAAAATATGAATGCAGAAATAATTAGTTTTATGACACCATATTTAGAAATACTAAGTCTAATAAAAATACATGTTTGTTTGGTTTTTTTTAATTTCAGGTTAATGTGAGGGTACAATCGACTGGGTTACAATGTTTATATATGTTAGGTAGAGGCCTTCATCTATCCTTACGTTGTGCCACTAGGTGGGAGCACACCAATCCCTCTCCCTTCTTCCTTCTTTTCCTCCCTCCTGTTCACAACTTGAATGAAATTGAGGTTTTTCTCTCATATGGGTATTTGATTGTCTACTGGCTTCGTATTGGTATTGAATATACACTGGATACTTTTTCCATTTTTGTGATATTTTACTAAAAAGAATGTGTTTCATCTCCACCCAGGTTAATACAAAAGTTGTCAAGTCTCCATCTTTTTAGTACTCCCTGGTATTCATATACTACAGTTTATTAATCCAGTCATGGGTTGATGGGCATTTAGGTTGTTTCCATGTCTTGGCAATTATAAATTAAGCTGTGATGAACAATCTAGTGCAAACATCCTTATGGTAGAGTGATTTTTTTTTTTTTTCTGGGTAGATGCCTGCTAATGAAATTGTGAGATCAAATGGAAGGTCTATTTAGAGTTCATTGAGGATTCTCCATACTTCTTTCCAAAGATGATGCATTAGTTGTCCCACCAACAGTGTAAAAGTCTTCCCTTCTGTCCACATCCACGCCAGCATCTGCAGCTTTGGGACTTTGTGACGTGGGCTGTTCTCACTGGGATTAGATGATATCTCAGGGTAGTGGTTTTTTGTTTTTTAGGGGGGACACAGTCTCATTTTGTCACCCTTGGTAGAGTGCTCTGGCATCACAGCTCACAGCAACCTCAAACTCTTGGGCTCAAGTGATTCTCTTGCCTCAGCCTCTCAAGTAGCTGCAACTATAAGTACCTGCCACAATGCCCAGCTATTATTTTTGTTTGTTTTTGTTTCTCAGGCCCAGTCCAGGTTTGAAACCTTAGCCCAGAGCATGTGGCCGGCACTCTAACCACTGAGCTATAGACACTGTCCTTCAGGGTCATTTTGATTAGCATTTCTCTGATGATTAGTGATGAGGAGCATTTTTTCATGTTTGTTAGCCATTCATCTGTCTTCCTCAGAGAAGGTTCTGTTCATGTCTCTTGCCCAGTGATAGATGGGATTGTTTGCTCTTTTTTTCTTGATTCATCTGTAGATTCTAATTATCAACCCTTTGTGAGATTTGTAACATGAAAATATCTTCTCCCATTCTGAAGATTATCTAATAATATGTATTTTTTGTACTATAAGAGTTTTTACTGTCTGTATTACTATAACTTAGGCGATATCCTTTGACTTGTGTCATAGTCTGATCAGGCACAACGATATGCCCTTTTTTACACTAGCATTGCCATACCTGAGGTTATCAACTGCTTGATCTTTTTTTCTTTTTTACTGTTGGGGATTGATCGAGGGTACAAAGAACCAGGTTGCACTGATTGTATAGGTAAAGTCCCTCTTACAATTGTGTCCCATCCCCAAGAGGTATGTCACACCCCATGGCCCCCCATCACCCTCCCTTCTCTTTGTATCCTCCCTTCCCCCACCCCCCACCGTGTACTAGGTCAATTGTACTCCTGTTAGAATTGAACATATATATATGTTCATATATATATATATATATATATATCTTTATAAAAAGTTTATAATGGAGTGAGAAACATTTTTAAAAACTCAATGAGTGTTTGAGATAGGACACTCAATTGGGACCAGTGTAAATGAAGGAGTCTAGGAGGTGCTAAATGTACCAAAAAGCATTACTCAAGACAATGCTTATTCAAAAATGGGCAGTGATTAAATTTTAATGTGGCAAATTGTTTGTCATAGACTATAGTCACCCTTTTTAATTTTGGTACTTCACTAAGCCAAGACTTCTTAAGGGGAAATAAGAAACGCCATATCCTGTTTGTGTGTCTTGTCTCAGAAAGAGAACTGAGTGTCCTTATTACACAAGAAGACATTCATTTCCAAAACAGTAGAATGTGATTTATTGCCTTTGGATTTATTTTCCTCTTGATGTGGCCAGGATATATCTTTAATTTAGATGTAATGTTTTGATAAAAAAAGTTCAGTATCACACCCACCAAGTTCACACATATTTTTCATCAATATGCGATTAAAGGAGTAATTGTATTGTACCTTAAACAAAAAGAAAGAAAAGTCAATAAATAGACCCTTTCAGGATATGATTTATGACAATCTGTGTTTCTCTTTGCCAAATAATTCCTTTCAAGTGATTTTTTTTTAAGAATTATGTAACGTCTCTCATTTTATGCCAGAAAAATAGCCAGGATAAGAACTTGACATCACATGCATGGTAAAAGCGTGGAAAGACTCTGAGAATGCTATTTACCTCCACATAAAAGGTCACAGAATCAATTCTGCAAGTCAACATTCAGTGCTGCTGGCTAAGAGCCTTGGTATTTGGAAAATTAATGTGTGTGCACTCAAAATGTACGTATGCATACACTTCTAATAAATTCTTCACAGGCAGAGAACATTGTGTCCCACTGATTTTACAACTGCCTTTTTAAGAAAAGACTGTGAATCTTCACGATCCTCCCAGGATCATATAATCTAGCTGAGCAAGGAGAAACACGGGTTTTGAACGTTAAATTCTATGAGTGATTTTAGTGTGTTATGGACTCTGATTAGAATCAATCACTGAAAGATCCTCCTGAGACATTTAGATTTAAAAAGTTGGCAGCTTCAGCCTCATGCCTATAATTTCAGCACTCTGGGAGGCCAAGGTGGGAGGATCCTTTGAACTCAGGAATTGGAGGCCAGTCTGACCAAGAGCAAGACCCCATCTCTAACTATAAATAGAAAAACTATCCCAGCATGGTGACAGGTGCCTGTAGTCTCAGCTACTCGGGAGGCCAAGGCAGGAGGATAACTTGAGCCTAGGACTTTGAGGTTGCTGTGACTTATGATGACACCACAGCACTCTACCCAGGAGAACAGAGTGAGACGCTATCTCAAAAAAATAAAGAGAAAAAAGAGTCAGCAGCTTCACACATCTGTTCAGTGATGTCTGTCAAATTATGTTAATTGGACCTAACGCAGTAAGAGTGTTCCCTGTAGAACACTCGTCCACACATCCTTATAACTTTATGTCTACGGTCTACAAAAAAATGCTGTTTTGGAAAATGTGGTTTTATAGAGTGGAGCCACTGGTTGTTTTTTGTCAAAGTGTAAATAGTTCTCACACGTGATGTGATGCAATCATCTTTTTGCAGGCACTATAAAATTGGGGCTGGCATAAATGAAGGAGTCTAAGAGGTGCTGGATGTACTAAAAATCATTAATAACTAAAATGTGTTGAGTATTTATTATGTGTCAAGCACTTGTCTAAGTACTTTATATGCATTAACTCAGGTATTACCCATAGCAACTCTCAGGAGTAGGTACTATTATCTTTATTTTAGAGATGGGAACACTGTAACATAGGGGTTTGCTGTATCTGCCAAAGCCTGAGTAAACTAATCCACCTAGGTGCTCACTAGTACACTGAATTTAATTGGAAATACTTTCAATAAAAGAAGCTAACTAAAGAGTTCTCAGAAAAGAACTTAATTTAAATAAACTTGAGTTCGGATCTGGGCCTCTCTCTCTCTTAGGTCCAGGAACTACAAATTCTGGGTAATCCTGAAGGAAATCTGGATAATACAATCTTCTAACACAAAGTATTCAAGGGGTGATGAATTATGCGGAATGCCCACATACTAATGGTCTTTGGAAGTGGGGAGAGAGCCTTGAGCCTTTCCCTGGAAAGAGAAAGAAGGCTGGTTTGCACCACCCAGGGTATCCTTTGTGTACAGCTTTAAAAGAGAAGTTTCTTTGATGAGTGCAGAATTCCATCAGGGATATTCTAGAGCAGTGGTTCTCAACCTTCCCAATGCTGCGATGTATTTTCATTGTTACAAAGGGGTCGTGACCCATAGGTTGAGAACTGCTGTCTAGAGGCTACTGCCTGACCCTTAAGACATCTGGTGAAATGCCCTGGTCCCACAGCTTGACTCTAGTAATTCAATTTTAAGTACACCTGGATGCTTCTGACAACTTCTCCGGTGCAGAGATAACTGAAGGTCGTCACATGGCCTGTGTCTTTGCATTCTGTTTTTCCACATTGAGACTCAATTCCTCTGATATACTTGCCCCTCAAATACTCTATGTGATTTTGGTGGAAAGATACCTTTTGGAACTTGGTATTAATTTTATAGAACCCACTCCCAAATTTCTCTTTGTCTTTTCTGGAGATGTAGACTCTCCTAGACATCCACAGCCTTCTCCAAAGGGATAGACTAGATAGACAGAAATGATGTGACATTTATATATACAACTATCCCCTACCCCCAAAACAATTTATATGTAAGTGAATGGCTATTTCATACTAGATAACATGCCTAACCTGGAGAAAATTTTATTTGAATGGATGTTAGTCATTACCAAAGTAACATTGTATTCCTGGAACAGCCAAATATTAAAATGATGCCATAAATTTCCTTTAAGCCTAATCATATTGAATTCTTACAGACTGACACTAACACTTTCCTGTCCGATGGATCTCAAGAATTTTCCAATGGACGTACAAACATGTATTATGCAACTTGAAAGCTGTAAGTATGAATAACTTGCTTTTTGTTGGAATACTTTTTTAAATGTAGCAGATATAAACTTTGAATGACTTATATGCATAATTTATTTTGTGATTATTTTTGGTCACATATGTAATAAACAGGCATGAAATCTTCCACCATGTCTGAAGGTAATGATATCTGTCAGCTGGTACCCTGTATGCTATGGCAGAGAAACAAATTAGGACCTAGAAGTAAAAGTTTTTAAGCTTAAAATCAAATATATGTCTTTATATACATTGTCAAAAGTAAGAAAGATGATAATCACTGAAAACAAACCTTTTTTTTTTTTTTTTAAGACAAAGTCACCCTGGGTAGAGTGCCATGGTATCGTCATAGCTCACAG